CTTTTTTAATCCTTTTACGGCGATGCAATCATCGTGTTTAGCTGAAATAGAGCTAATTCGACGCAATTACGGTCAATTGCAAAGAAGATAAATAGTAACAGTATTTATTGGTGCATATACAGAAAGATCAACCAGACCAACCGCATACGAGTGATCGTTATAATAAATCAATGTAATAGTGACCACGATAATTACTGCGTTGTGAAAAATATCCAAACATGTACAGCGGTTTTCGCTCGATTTTCGAGACAATTATTTTATAATAAATCACGCGCCTACCATATACAAACCCAGACAGAGCTGTAGAAAAATGTAAATTCTAGTCATCCATTTAGTTGATGTTTTCTAATCATACCAATGCCATTTATCTCTGACTATAGTTCAATATTTTTTTAATTTTACTTTTCTCAAATTCATTGATTCGTTTGAGTCAAAACCGTGTATACTATTACGTACAATTCTTAAGTAATATGTAGTATATAATTTTTTATTATTATTCAGTTATATTAAACTATAAATCAAACAATAATTACTATTAACAATTCGCATCATAGTTAATGTGTATTTCTTACACGTTTGACTGATTACATGATGATAACCTATACTTGCCGTGTTAAGAATAGTTTAATGAAAATAAAAATAAAACGGTATACAAAAATTTCAGTTATTTTTTAATATGTAATTATATAAAATGTGCATTAAATTATAAATTCATAAAATGCATATATCATAACATACATGTATCATTTTAATGCGTAATAGGTTTTTCGTGTTAATTGTAACTTAACGTGTTATTTATACCTAATTTAATTGAAAGTTATTAATCAAAAATTAGTTTACATCTCAACTCAACGCAGTTGTTTATACTATGTTCCCTGTTTAGGTACAGAACTGTATATATATTCTGATTCAAAACTCATTACAAATATTCAATCGACCAAATACAGTTGATTGTGTCCCTTATGCATACATAGTACATATTAAACGAGAAATATTGTAAATAGCGCATGTATCTATTATAGTATGGATTACAATGTTATAAACACAAATGTACAACTCCATTCATTATTTACACGTATTTTATTTATTCTTATTGTTATATTATATTATTCACAATGTTTTATTTTAAATCATGATTTAAAACATATCCAAACATTTTTAATCATATCAAAATGTATAACTATAAAAACTATATTATAATATATTTATTATTATCATTATTATATATTTTTTCGTCGTTAATTTAGTTCATTACTTATTTTAATAAAAATTTTAAAATTATTTTTTACATTCTTCAATTTAAGGTACTGCTTTATTTTAATATAATTTTGATCTGATAAATTTAATTAGAAACAAATGCTGTCGATTTTAAATGTCATACTCATATTATTTTCGAACATAATGCACTATATAGTTTTAAAATATGTTAGAAACATATATGATGATGGCACTCTTAATAATAATATCTTTATCATTGTTTATTTATGTTTCGTAATTAATTCTGGACATTTATTGAACGCACAAAAAGCCAACAGGGTGCCGTGGGAAAAAAATAAAATATATATTTAAGTTTTGCATGTGATAATCTATTAGGTGTTGCCAATCATCTATGTCGCACAATTTTTTGTCATTTTTTTACACACTTACATAATATATAATATCATTTGTTTATACATTTAATATTAAAACGCAAAAACGTTTTGATTTGTCAAATCACAATAATTATAAATTATTATGATAGGTTTTTTTTATAAGATTTTGTGATCGTGCCGATCTATAAGAATTTCTCTATATACGTATACTAAGCATAACTGACGTGGTTTTAAATGCGTGTTTCCAGAGTTAACTGTATGTATTATCATGTATCATCTAAAAATGATTTAATGATAAGCTTAACAAAATGCTTAAAACTTATGTTATTAAGTTTAGTCACTGTTTACTCATCTGTAGAAAATGTGTTTTGTAAGTATTTTAATCTATTTAGATGTTGAATTATACACCGATTAATATTCCGTGTATTTTAAGGTCTAATTGTGATGTATACGCGTTTATACTTAGATGTATGTACAATAATATGATATTTGTATATTATTAAAAATATTAACGATAAAAGATAGTTTGGTATGCATAAATAATATACCTATACTTAACGTTATAGTTATTATTTATATAATTTAAAACGTTTGGATTTTTCAATACATGTTGGTACCTATTTAGTTATTAAACTATGATATACTTAAGCAAAGATCAAAATTTAAATACAAAAATGCATTTAATACATTTTTTTCTTCCTTTTTTTTATATATATTATATAATATAACATACATATTTACTATAAATAGGTTTTTACTGTTCAACGTCGTTATAAAGTTGTATTACACGTTTAAGTTAATTTATTTTGATTTTTTTACTATAAGTCATATACAATTTAGATACTTGTATAACATAATATAGTAAATACATGTACTTCAAATCATAATTCGCACAAAACATATCTGTAATACTGCAATAAAGTCGTTTGACATTTAGAACAAACAATACATAAAATGAAGGAAAGATCAATGTTATTTTTTTTTTTTTTAGTGGGTGTTTATCTTACACTCGATAAGTTTTTTTATACATACACATATATAAATGTTACGCTTATTAATCCAATATACAAAAATATTATTATATATGATCTATTTTTGAAAAACATGTGCACTCAAATTTGTTATAACAAGAAATTAAAAACAATAATAATAAATAGCCTATCATCATAACAACATCGTGGTCTACAAGTAATTAATATAAGATCACTAATCTAAACTTTTACCATTCATTGATTAGTTCACATTCAATAATTTGAACTGATAATAAAATAAAATTTTCCAAAAGTTCTCAGAAACTCAAGAACGTATATTGGTATAACAATTTATCATTCTTTTTAAATTTTTTTATGTACGATCAAGCAATATATAAATTATTAAACTTTTGATTTATTGATTGTTATCATAATTTATCAAATAATGTTGTTTGCTGCACTATCTATAAATATGTATGCCTTTATTATTATGAAAATAGTGTATAGCTCGTAAGATCGATAATATTTTATTGTAAAAATCAAAAAATAATCTTTCGTATGCCTATTTATATAAAAATAAAGACCATGTAGATAAAAATTTGTATAAGCAAGAACATTTTTGCATATACATTTGTATAATTTTAAATTACTCAATAAAATGGCACGTATGTTGCCTTCGTCTAAACCTTAAATCTGTATAAGAAATAAATTTGTAATAAATAATTTTTACGTGAAAAAAATCCAATTAAACTTCTCCTTGAAATAATTATGTATATCATATTGTTGTTTTTAATCGATTTGTATTCGTAACTTTTCAGTCCCATTCTTTTTTTTATACTTACCGCCGATACATAATACTAGAATACATTTTGCTGGTTTACTGTATTACTACATAAGTATTCTACAATCAATGTAATGCTTTCGTAAGTAACCTGTACGTAGAATACTGCAAAATGTAATAAACAAATTTGTGTAATAATGTAATGTTCAGTTATGTTCAAAATCGTTAAGCAACTAATTTTAGAATACCACCTTCAACTAAATAATTAACAACAATTACCAAGAAAGTTGATTATTTCAAAGGTCAATGTAAATTTCTATAAAACTTTATTTTTACCTTCGATAGCCAATTAATTATCCTCACTGAATCATTTTGTATGTAATATTTTACATATACTAAAATGTTACCTGGTTAAAAACTTCTGATATTAAAATATTTCTATTAAAATCATTTAGATGTAGACTAGTTGTTAACTAACTTGGAAGGTTCTTTAGAAAGTTAGTTACACAATGGTAACTTTTCATATTTCAATGAAAAACCGGAAAAAAGAAATAGAACTTCTATATATTTCATAGCACTTATATTTGTTTTGGTAAAATAATCATTTCATATTTAAGTCAGAAAAATTAACCTAGTTATTCAATAAGGAAAATCTCGAACATTTGCTATCTGTTATAGAAAAACAACTTAGGTTTATTTTCACGAATAACAACGATTATTCTTCTCTTTTGTTTGATTAAAATAAAATATTTTTTTATCAAAATATGTACTTGTATTAATAAATTCTAAGATTTATGATTTTATTGCCAACAATTAGTGCTCTACATGGTCCGTTATTTTAAGGACCAAACCGGACAACAAATTTTAACAGGGGACCGAAGTCGGACCGAACCACACTTAAACGTTAATCAAAGACCAAAATTAGACCGAACCGACGGTTTCATATTATTTTTTCAGACCAAACCGTACCAGTAAATAAATAACATTTAATAAAGTAGATTGTGGACCGGGTCTGATCTTAAAACATTTTGGACCATTCATGGACCGGTCCGTAAGATTCAGTCTATATTATCCCAGACCGTACCATATGATGCGTTTAGCATTACACTGGACCGGACTACCCGACTTTATAAATTAATATATACCTAAGGTTGTAGGTTTTTTTTCGTTTTATTTCTTTGCATAATAATATCTGTATTTAGATTTTAAATACCATGTTTAGACTGAAAAAAAACTGGAATCGCGACCTATTACTTTGACAAAATAATAGA